GTCCGGCGGCGGCCGCGGCTGCTGTCTGGCTGCAGCCCTCTCTCCTCCTCCGCGCTGGCCTGGGGTCCCCCGGCTTCCCTCCCTGGCTGGGCTCCCTGCCTCAGTTTCCCTCCGGGCACCCGTCTGTCGGGGTCTCCGGGTGCCCGCGCCTCTGGGTGCGCGCCCACTCTCCGGGGGAGTCGGGGTCACCTGCTGGCTCTGCCTGTCCCCGCCGGGGAGCCCCTGTGTCCCCTCCGGCCGGCGTCTGGGGCTCCGCGCCCCGACTCTGCCCTCCGCCTGTGTCTGCCTCCCCGTCCCCCCGGGCTCCAGGGCTCGGGCTCGGGTCTTCCCTGGAGTCCGCCCTGCTGCCCGCCTCCGACGCCCCATCGCTCGCCCTTCCCGGCCTCCGGCTCCTGGTCCCCATCGGTCCCCTCTGCTGTCTGTCTGCTCTCTCCCACCGTCGGTCTCTTCCTCCCTCCCCGCCCCCCATGAACCTGAACCCACTTACAGTTCATGTCCCCACTGGGCCAGGGGTTCCCCAGGGTGGGGGTCAGGGCGCTAGGGGCCTTTAACCCTTCCCTGGCCGTCGGCGGCCCGGGGTCAGCTGGGCCGCGGCCGGGGGAGGGGAGGCATGAGCGGCGCGGGTGTGAGCGGCGCCCGGCAGTGAGGGCGTCCGGCCGCCCGGGGGCTTATATAGGGGGCCGGGGCGGCGGCGGGGGGCAGGCGGGGGGCAGGCGGCGGGAGGGCGGCCTGGGAGGGCGGCCTGACGCATCCTGACTCACCCTCCCTGCCTGCCTTTTCCATTTCGCCGGGCGGCCGCGCAGGGCGCGCGCCTCGGAGGAGGCACGGAAGGAAAAGTTGGAAAAGTTGAAAAGGGAAGGGGGGGGTCGGAGAGGGGCTGGTGAGGTCATGGGCTGCCCCCCTTCCACCTCCTGGGCCCGGGCAGGCGCAGGCTGGAGAGCTGGGGCCCGGCTGTGGGGCGGGGGTCTGGGTGGGGGGTCCCAGGCGCTCAAAGAGCTGGGGAAGGGTGGCAACGCTGGCAGCAGGGTGCGGGCCTGGGAGCTGGAGGTGTGAGGAATGGACCTGGGGAGAGACAGAGACTGCGGGGCACACAGACAGAGACACAGGATGAAGACGCAGAGACACAGAGACAGAGAAGGAGCGCAGGACAGAGAGGAATGCGGCGCAGAGATGGAGAGACTGAGGAGAGAGACAGAGACACAGAGAGACGGAGACCGTGGGGGAGGCAGACTGGGGAGACAGATGGGGCTCGCCTGCCACAGTGGGGACCGAAAGGAGAGATTCCAGGAGTCTCCAGTCAGGTAGCAGCAGGAGATAGCAACCCACGTGTGGAGACCCAGAGAGACCCGAGAGGAAGGGGCCAGAGACATGGGGACAAAGAGAGAACGAGAGACAGACACAGAGAGACAGAGACGCAGAGAGAGGAGGCCGAGGGAGGACTCGCAGAAAACGCCTGGAGGCAGAGGGACCAGGATGGGGGGCCTGCAGGCAGCGTGGGGCCACAAAGATGAACACGGAGAGCCGGGAGAGGGCACAGGAAGAGTCAGGGAGGGTGACCCAGGCGACGGGACCAGGCAGAGAGACACGGTGACACTGGGAGGTGGAACCTGGGCCGGGACCCCACCCTCTGCCTCAGTTTCCCCTCTGCACAGTGGGAT